GTCTGAATAAATGATGGCATTTTCCTTTTCTAGAATACTAAGCAGAACTAAAGAGAAAGTGTTAGATAGATGGATGGATCTCCAAGACATGTTTTGAGAGAAAATAACCAGTTGCAGAAAAATGTATACGATGGGATTCAATTTATTTTAAAAATATAGAAAGACATAAACAAATGAAGTATAAAGTGATGGAGTCATATATCTGTATGTAAAAGCACAGGAAGCAGCATGGCATGATACATATAGCTCATAGCCGTGGGTGTCCCTGGAGAGACGCTGAAGGTTGTAGGACAATCATTCAGAGGGGTTTTATGAGGCAAATAAATAATAGTTGTTTTCTACCCGAGCCGAGACCAGATTAATATATAGATAGGGACCCAAATGTCAGCTTTGTGACTGATGAAGGTGATGATGGAGCAGGTGGCTTGGCTTCACAATCAGGTGGGCTTGCAGCGGTCCTGTTCTTCACCTCCTATTATTTTTTGCTCCCCTGCCTCCCCTCCGTACCACCCGTCAGCAGGCTAAGCTTTGGGGCAGTCCATGAGGGAGCCTAGTTCTGCATAACCTCACATTGATCAGAGCTAGAGAATAAACAGACCAGTATCTCAATCTTACAGCATTTTCATAGATTGGCTCCACCCTCCTTAAAAATATGAGCCAGTGGTCACCATCAACAATTAGGTAATGCGTTGCTTCTTCTCATCCCCAGGAGCAGGGAGGATGAAAGTCATGGAACACAGGAGCTCAAGGCCAAGGCTGCTCTCCAGCTTTTACCATTATGATTACTATTGTTCCATGAAGGTGAGTATCACCTACAAATAGTTTCACCTACGAGTGATGTTTTGATGATTTTTTAAAAAAGAAAATGTATCCATGTAATACACATAAGCAAAACCAACAGTTCAATAGAAATCTGCAATGATAGTAGGCATTTTTCCCAACAGTAGTTTCTTATAAAAAATGTTTTATTTATTTATTATTTATATTAACTTATTTATTATTTATAAATAATGCTTCCAAAAATGAGCCTGTTGATGTAAAACAAATTAAGATACAAAACGTAAGAAACTAAATAGCTATGACATGAATTTTCTTTTAAAAGTCTAGAAAGCATGTATCTTGTAGAAATTTCAAATAAGCTTTACGTCGATATCAATATACACTCAAGATATTGAATAGCATTTGCAAAATTAAAAAAATTATTATAAAGACTCAGTCTCACTCTTGTCTGCCAGGCTGGAGTGCAATGGCACAATCTCAAATCACTGCAACCTCTGCCTCCCAGGTTCAAGCAATTCAGCCTCCCAAGTAGCTATAATCCATAGGTGTGCACCACCATGCCTGGCTAATTTTGGTATTTTGAGTAGAGACAAGGTTTCTCCATGTTGGCCAGGCTAGTCTCGAGCTCCTGACTTCAGGTCATCTGCCCGCCTTGGCCTCCCAAAGTGCTAGGATTACAGGTGAGAGCCACCGCACCTGGCCCATAAAAGAAAGTTATTAAAATGTCTGACCATTTACTGTGTGCCAGGTATTCTGCTACACACTCTACATTTTTTTTTTCATTTAATCCTTCCGTTAATACTATGAGGCTGGCACTCTTTTTTCAGTTAAGGAAACTGAGGTTGAGAATGGATAAATATGTGCCTGAGGCCCCAGGAAATAAGGGCCCATTTCTACTGTGTATTTATCTTACATTTTCTTCATGCACAGTCTTTTCCAACTACAGGCCCATTATTTGCTAAGCTGAATATGAGCATTTAAAATTAAAATAAATTTAGTTGTTTTCTTGGCATGTACATTTGCAGTGATTCACAAACTTCAATCTTCATCTACTGAGGAGAAAAAGTTCTTTATTCGTATAAACTATAATTATAAGCATTCATTATTTCTAGAGAAAGAAAATGTGTCTGTTTATACTAGGTATTTAAAATCACCTACGGATTTGCTCTAATTGTCAGTTTCTCCCAAATTATTATTGTTTCTAAATCTCTTAACAAGTAATTATAAATAGATGTGTTGGCATGAAAAATAAGAAAGATATTCAGCGTTTCCTGTATTTCATAAACACCGCATCATTTTCTTTCATCAAAATTTCCATTGAAAGATTATCATAGTGTTAGGACACTTCTGGGCTTAAGCAGGTATGAGAAGAAGCCACAACTTCTTTTCCTTCTGGATCACCTCAGATCTTACCCTACGATGTTAGAAATCCACACGAGATTAATATTCAAATACATGAACATATCTTTGTTTTCATTTGCAGCACAGGATCTTTTATTGTAGTTCTGCTTAATGCTGAATAGGCTTGAAAAGATATATCAAGTACGGGTGTAAACAACATGTGATTTCATTAAGGTAGATGTAGCTATATTGCGGTGATGGCAATTTGGTCAGATTCATAGGACAATGAAGATCTATCAGGGTAAGAGCTCATGATCTGAATATGCAGACAGTCTAATAATTCTTACCATATGTATGTTTATTTTTTGTAATTTCAGGACAATTTTTTTAGAGACAGGGTCAAACTCTGTTGTCCAGTATGGAGCAACAAAGTGAGACTGTGGAGGGCAGTGGCACGATCATAACTCACTGCAGCCTCCTGGCCTCAAGCAATCCTCCCACCTAAGCCTCCCAAGTAGCTGGGACTATAGGCACATGCCACCATGCCAGGTGTTTTAACTTGGCTCATGAACTCTATCATATCTGTTATTGTAGAGAACTGAAGCAATCCGAAAGAAAAGTGTTTGGAGACTTTGAGTAGATTCTCAAGACAAAACCCAAATGCTGAAACGTTGACGCCCTCACTACAGTCGGTACAGAAAAAGGTGAATATTATCCTGGATGCCCTTATACTGATGCAAGTTGCAAAGGTGAGAGCTTGCATCTGTCAAAGTGTAGAGTTGGTTCTTCTTACATCATAAAACGTGGAAGCTAACATCTCAATGACTTACCTTAAAATCCCATTTTTTCTCTTTTGATCATACTAAAGCATTTTGGGGTACAAATAAGCTATTTTCTTTGCCAAAAATAGCTTGAGAGTATGATCTGAGCTGAGATATAGAAACTATAGAATACCTCATATTTCTTCTCTTGAAAGCTGATTACCCATCTATCCACATTCATTATTCTGTAGTTTATTCTCAGTGTATTTTCCTAAGATTTGGAAATTTGACAAGTTCATAGATGGGGCCCAAAGTTTCAGACACTCCCTGTATTAACAGTAGATTACAAAGATAGCATGAAAAAGAGGAAAGCAATTGAAGATGCCAACTAGTGCACCTAAAAATCAATCTAATAAACTTGTCATGTGGAGTAGCCAAATACAAAATAGTTCACATGTGATATCAGTACAATTTTTTCCTTAAAACAAAAATTTCCTTTTTATTTAAAGAAAATAAAAAATAAGAGAAAGTAAAGTATATTAAGTATCACACTCAGAAATGGCTTCTTCCTGTCATGCCTCAGGGATGTGAAGCAAAAAGATAACAGGTGTATAGATCATAAAGCTGGCAGGTTATGGGTGATTCTGAGAGATCTAATGTCCCATCTCCAGCTAGCAGCAAAAGTTCTGATGACATGTGAATTAATATGAAATCAGGTTTCATAGTGATTTCAAAGCAAGTTTTCACTTTAGTTCAGGGCTGACAGAAATATGTTTCTTTGGAGGGGAAGGATGACGTGACATAGTGATTGAGTCTTGAACCAGGGACCAGAGTATGTGGATTCTTGCCCCAATTCCATCTCTTGGGTTCTTTGTGATTTGCTATCTCTGATCTTCCATTCCTTCCTTTTCGAAGAAGATTGCGTGCCATGCCTGCATCAAAAGAGTCTTGCGAGGAAGATCCAATGAGGAAAAGCAGTAGAATTCCCTAATAGTATATAAACAGTACTGTGCAAGTGGAAGGTGTCATTAATGACATCAGAATGTCTTTGCAAGTACAAATGAGGGTGACACTGTGTGCATGTGTACTGCAGGATGTGGGTCCAGTCACATAGTGGCCCTCCCTGGTGACTCAAGAAAGGATGCACATCTCGGCACCAAAGGAGACCTGATTTTCCCAAAGTGAAGAAGCAAAAATGATTCCAGAGACCAAACGGCAGTGTAACATTATTTATAGGGGAGTCCGTATCACAGGACATTTATAGGGAGAAAACTTACATGTAAAAAAAGAAAATGTACTTTCATCTAGAACAGCTAAGAAAAATGAATTAAAAAGAAAATTCTGGTAAAAATTTAAGCCAAAATGAAACGAGAAACTTGAGGAGTCTACCAATGCTAGTTGTAATCCTTCTGAGAAACAGGAAGACTTGAGAACGAGTGAATTCCCAAACAAGGTAGAGCAAAGCTGTAGTTTTTACTGGTCTAACATCCTCTGTAGTATTAATTAGATACAGGGAACACTCAGAAGAAGAACTGAGAGAGCAAGAGAAGGAGAAGAAAAGGCAAATTTAAAGGATACGACTCCTGCTCCGTGGAGCAGACTCTGGCTTTAGCGCCCTCTTGTGTTTATTCAATATTCCGTGCAAATGAATGGGTTGCCAGCTGCATTATGGAGTTCTTGGAGATATGTGCTACGGTGATCTTGCAGATAAAAGCCCTTCTTTCTTAGATGAGAAATTTAACTGAGATAACTAAGTTTTAATCACTTAATTTAATCTTGTCCTATTTGGACTAGAATTTAGATGTCCTGATTTCTCATCTTTTTGCCACCTTTCATGGTTTTTCACATTTATAAGATAAGATCATTTAATTATCGGACAGTGATTTCCACTCATTTTTGGATTCTGTCTAGCCATCTGCACCCAAAATCGTAGTATAGCACATACCTCTAATATTCATATATAACCCCAAATTAACTATATTGTCACAATTTTATTATATCCCTTGAGATACAAGATACAAAAACAAGGGATAGAATTTATGCTTGCATTTGTCTATGTGAAGTTACTAAAGTTTGAACAATAAATAGCTAACAAAAATAAATTTAAAATAAATTCAGATAATTAAACTCAATATTATTTTAAAGAACTACAGTGGCAGAGATTCTAGGCCAAATCACATTTTAGAGAGGGAGAGAGAGAGAGAGAGAGAGCGAGAGAGAGAGAGACTGATTTGGGGGGAAATGTGAGCAATTTGTCAGAAAGTAAAAGAGAACTATTTGAATTCTTCCGTCAAATCATTTTACCTGGGAAACAGATGATGAAGGATTGCCTTTTTCTTTTGGCTTCAAGAGACAATAGGCAGTGTTTCCAGCAAACATCATGATTTTGGCTCTCCCAAAGCCTTTGTATTGAGAATGCAGATGATATATTTGTCTCTGTTTTGTGCTCAGATCTGGAATTTCCTAGAATGTTACCTACAAAACATATAGATATTAATATACTGAAGGACTGTTAGCACAAATGTCAACACTTTTTCTTTGTCACCTATATAACAATTATAGTATCATCACACTAAACACAGACTCAAACGTCTCTTCATTCCAGTGTTCCAGAATGGAACACAAAAATGGTATATTTTGATCTGGATTCATTGCCATCGATTAACGTGACATTAGCAAACACTCCCATCTGGGCAGCCCACTTTTGCATTTTAATTTCATTGCGATCAACGTAATGAAGCTGTTGGTGGTTTCTTCCATTTTCCCTAGTATTTGCCTCTTAAATTTGAACTGCAGCCCTTTGTACCTCAATCTGTTGTTACAGATGGAATTTTTTAGAATGCTTTTTCTGTTTCTCCAAAGCAGTTAGAATAGACAAAAAATCACTTCACATCATAAGTTTAAATTCCACCGATAAAATCAAAACTTTTATGAGCCATTATGCAATTGTCCCATAGAGTAAAAGGTTCAGCTGAAAAGTGATATGCATTATTATTTCATTGTAACTTAATAAAATCTTCCTAGGGGAAGTCATTATTTATTTAAAAATAAAAAGCAGTAGAAGTCTTTGAGGTATTTTTTTACACCTTTCAGGCTAAGGTTTAATATTCATACATGTATACATACACACAATGAATACATATACAGTTAGAGGTAAAATTTCTGAGAGAAACATTTTTATATTAAAAAGGGGCCAGGCGTGGTGGCTCACTCCTGTAACCCCAGCACTTTGGGAGGCCGAGACAGGCAGATCATGAGGTCAGGAATTCGAGACCAGCCTGTCCAACATGGTGAAACCCTGTCTCTACTAAAAATACAAAAATTAGATGAGTGTAGTGGTGCGCGCCTATAGTCCCAGCTACTCGGGAGGCTGAGGCAGAAGAATCACTTGAACCTGGTAAGTGGAGGTTGCAGTGAGCCAAGATTGCTCCACTGCACTCTAGCCTGGGCAGCAGAGCGAGACTCTATCTCGAAAAAAAGAAAAAAAAAAGAGGAAGGACTTCTGATTATGAACATGACCTCGTGATGGGTTTTGGACTGAGCTACTGAAAAGTAATGAACTCTCAAACTGGACAAAAATGATGAAGTAACTGTTTTCAGACACTGGACAACTTGCCACAAAGGGCTGTCATCCCTAGGAGATGGAATCATAGGCAGGTAGATACAGCTTGCCTTCAGCTTTCTGCCTGGGGCACTTTCCACACTGTGATATAAGCAGTTCACCCAGATGGACAACAGTGGTCTTGCTGGGTGGAGGAAACATTAGAGTTCAGGGCCACCGAAGCCATTATAATTTTTGAAGAGGCATCTCCAGAGATGAAAAAGCTACACAGAAAAGTAGCTCTAGAAATCTGCATGTAGGTTCTTTTGAGTCATGGCCATGCACCTGTGAAACTCCATGATTTCTGGCAGATAAAAAATATAAGAGGTTCTGAGTTGAATAGGTTCCACAGTGCTGAGATGCTGCAGGTTCCACACTGCTGAGGGGCACTGGCCATCTGACCTGGCAGAGTGGAGTTATTTCATATAATACCTCAGGCATTCTGTATCACAGAAAAGCCACACCTTAAAATAGGGCTGATAAACCAAATAAAAAGGGAACAAAAGATTTGAATTAGAGATTTCATTTTAAAAAGGTATACATATATAAATGGTTAATAAGCACATGAAAATTTGCTCAATACCAGTAGTTATTAGAGAAATGTGAATTGAAACAACAGTGGCCTCTCCACCGCTGCACCCATTGGAGTGGCTGTAATAAGAAACAGGAATACCAAGTGTTGGCAAGGGTGTGGAGAAATAGGAACCATCATGCATTGGAGTAGAAATGAACATGGTAAATACACTTGGAAAAACATGGTTTATTGTAATGTTGAGCAAAAATTTATATTCAACCTAGCAGGTTCACTCCTAGAAATCTACTCGAGAATTAATAACATATCTACACAAAGATGTCTATGTGACTGTTCACCACAGCATTATTTGTAATAGCCAAAAGCAAGTAAAGATCTAAATTTTCATCAGCTAGTGATCGGATAAACAAATGTGTGTATCCAGCAATGAAATTGTATATTCAGCAAATAAGTGGAATGATTACTGGTATATGCTGTAAAATATAGTAAGCTAGAAAAACATGCTAAGTGAAAGAAGCCAGGCACAAAAGACTATTGACTTTATATGCAATGTCTAGAAAAGGCAAACTTAGGAAGTCAGAAAGCAGATCAGTGGTTGTCTTGGGCTGAAGGTAAGATTTGGAATTGACTGGAAATAGCATGAAGAAACTTTTTGGAATGATGGAAATGTTCTTATAAAGGATTGTGGTGATGGTGACACAATTCTATAATTTCACTAAAACCATCAAACTGTTAAAAAAAAAAAAAAGGGGGGGTATACTAGCCATACAGGAAATGCTACCTAATAAAGCCTAAAGTCAGTTGATTTACCAGTAGATTAACTGCCTGCCAGAATAAAACTCAACACTAAAGAAAGGCAACAAAATCCAAACTCTCAGCAACATAGCAGCTGCAATATCCCATACGCAATGAAAGTTACTAGACATGAAAAGAAGCAAGAAAATGTGACCAATGCCGAGGAGAAACTAAAGTTGAAAGAAACAGACCTGAGATGACCCAGATGTTGGAATTATGAAATAGAAACTTTCCGAGAGTATTATAAATTTGTTTGAGGATAAAAGAAGAGCATGAATTTTTTTTTTAGTGGAAAGATGAATTTCAGCAGAGAAATCAAAACCATAAAAATTAAATACATGGAAAATCTGGAACTAAAAAAAGTCAGAAATAAAAAATTCACTGGATGGGCTGAATAGCAGATTGAAACATGCAGAAGGAAGTATCAGTATAAGTTAAATATAGACCAACAGAAAATATAAATTTAAATAGAAGAGAGATTTCTTAAAAATGAAGAATTTCAGCGGTTCATTGAGATATTATTAAGTGGTAACTGGGGTCATAGAAGGAGAGTAGAGTTCAGAGCAGAGGATGCATCTGCAAAAATAATGGCTGAATATTTTCCAAAGGTAAAAATTACTGCTATAGTTCGGATGTTTGCCCCACTCAACCCTCATGTTAAAATTTGATCCCAATACTACAGGTGGGGGCCTACTGGGAGGTGTTTGGGTCATGGGGGCAGACCCCTCATGAATGGATTAATGCCCTCCCTGGGGGTGGTGAGTGAGTTTTCCCTCTGTTAGTTGCATAAGAATTGATTGTTAAAAAGAGCCTAGCGCCTCACCCACCCCTTGTGCCCTCTCTTGCCATGTGATCTCTGCACACACCAACTCCTTTTTGCCTTCCGTCCACCATGACTGGAAGCCTCTTGTGGCCTTTGCCGGATATAAATGCCCAATCTTGAACTTTTCCAGGCATCCAAATCATGAGCCAAATACTTCTTTTTTTTTTTTTTTTTTTTAATGGAGTCCTACTCTTGTTGTCCAGGCTGGAGTGTAGTGGAACAATCTTGGCTCACTGCAACTTCTGCCTCCAGGATTCAAGCGATTCTCATGCCTCAGCCTCCAGGTAGCTAGGATTACAGGTGTACACCACCATGTCTGGCTATTTTTTTTTTTTTTTTCATATTTTTTGGTAGAGATGAGGTTTCACTATGTTGGCCAGGCTGGTCTTGAACCCCTGACCTCAACTGATCTGCCTGTCTTGGCTTCCCAAAGTGTTAGGATCGCAGACGTGAGCCACTGTGCCTGGCCATAAATCTTTTTTCTTTTATAAATAACCCTGTCTTAGGTATTTCTTTATAGCAGCACAAACAGACTAAGAAAATGACTACTAACGTCTCATTAAAAACAATACCACACAGCCTGTGAGGGACGACCGTCTTTAAAGAGTTGAATTATCAGCTTAAAATCTGATATCTAGAAAATTATCCTTTAAAAATAAAGTCTGAGAGATTTTCAGTTGATAAAAGTTAAGATCATCTATCACTTATGGCTAGCAACATAAATATCATAAATAAGATATTAAACCCAAGTGCATCTTTAAAAAAATGACAAGTCACAACCAAATGCGGTTCATACCAGTGATGCAAAGATAGCTCCATGTTAGACAGTCTGTTGTTTTACTATATTAATGTTACAAAGATGAAAATTCATCATATCATCTTCATAGATGCTATAGAGGTTTTAGATATGTTCCTTGAGCTCTCAAAAGTATTAAATCATGAATAGATGGATACTTAATAAACACACAAAAGTTTCTAGGACTGCCACCATGTATAAGACGGCCAGGGGAATAAAAAAGAGAAATGAAAAGGAAGAAGCAACTGTATTGATATTTGTAGATTCTGTGATTGTACACATGAAAAACATAAAAACAAGTGAATTTGATAAGATATGAAGTTAATATCAAAATTCAATTAATTACTTAGAATCAGAGCATAAAATGACACCACTTACAATAGCTATAAGATTATAAGAAATAAATATAAGAAATATATAAGATCTATGTAAGATTTCAAATGCTACTAACATAAAAATATTATCAAAATAGAATGATAGGCCTTATTTCTGTGCAGATAGATTCAATATTGTAAAGTTCAGTTTTCTTAAAACATGAGTTTAATGTGATCTCAATTTAAATACCAGAGAAAAAATCTTTAGTATTAGATGAACTAATTCTAAATTCAATGGAAAAATAAAGAAGTAAGAAAAACCAAGTAAATTCTGAAGAAATATTAATAAATTGTTCCTGTCCATACTCCAAATATTATAGGTAATAATTAAAATAGTTTATTATTGACAAATATATATCCCTATAAATGGGCAAGACTACAGAGTAAAAAAAATCTATAAATATATATAGAATGTATATTTTGTATACAATAATATTTGCATTTCACATCACTAGAGAAATGATGATTTATTTAGTAGATAACAGTGGAGTGTTTTAGTAGCCAATCAAGAGAAACATTAATTTGAACCCCCACCTTACTCTTTTGACTAAAAT